TTAAGATATGCTCTAATTCAAAACAGGAATTAATTTAGGGCCTATGTTTTATAGAAAATCAAAGTAGGTGATCTCAATAGTCCCTTCTGGATTATAATACAAGTAAAAATCAAAGTAGAAAATTTAGTCGAAGTTTTCAAGGAGACATGATATCTAAAAGTGTGCTTTGCAACACCGTGGCAGGGCACCTTTGGTGCTTGCCACTATAAAGTAGCAAACAGGCAGCAGCCAGGTGCCTGATAAGGGCAGCTATTTTGGCCTAGGGATATAAACTGGGCTACAGTTTGCTGCAGGAAGGAAGGCAGAAACATCAGGCTGAGAGGCTGCTTTGGCCAGTCAGAAGGTAAGGGCAGGAGCTATGGGGAGGAGGTGACCCCTTGTCCTGGGTAAGACATAAAACTGAACCCTGCTGGGGAAGGGTGGTCTGGTGTGGTTCCTAGTGGCATGGGAGCCCCCAGGAAATGCCAGACCAGTTACCGCCCCGATGAAAGGCGGGTTGTGGCACCGTAAACACCCCAGCCCCACATCCCTGGTGGTGTTCTAGCGAGCAGGGGGAGCCCAGGGCTTGGTTAAGGGGGCCTGAGGCAGAGTTCAGGCTGGAGGAGGGATCTGGGGTCACACCCGAGCAGCAGAGGAAAGCCTGGGGTTGCGAGTCTGTGTGAGAGGGGTGATGAGTAGAGAGACCCTGTGGAAGACGGGGACGAACAGAGTGACCCTATGAGTGTGGGCAAGTGAGGGGGTCCAGTGGGGGGCACAGTGGCTCAGCAAGGGGCTAGGAGCGAAACAGGCCTAGAGTCATATAATCATTCAGTAAACGCTCAGATAGCGTAGTGGGAGATACCCAACAGACTGCACCGGGGCTGACCGAGGTGAGGAGAGCTAAGCCCAAAGCTGGGTGATGCTGGGCAGCATGAGTGTGGATCCTGAGAGAAGGCAGTATGAAAGAAGCTGGGTGAGAGCCAGCGGAGTGAGTGGGACCCTGGTAAGAGAGGGGCAGCATGAGAGTGGCCCTCCAGGGCTATAGAAGAGAGCTGTAATATCTGCGCGGCCTAGGACCCATTGAGGGGAGGTTGCAGCGGGTATTAGGCCCTTGTCAGCAGGGCAAGTAATGGGTAGCCTCCCACTTTAGTAACAACTCTCTTATTTTTCCATGAAGGCATGGCAGATGAGCAAACTGGGCAGTTACCCCAGGAGCAGGGCAGCCAGTGAAGACATGATGAAGGGGGCCACCCTGTTACAAACACATATGTGGTCTTTCCTTAAATTATTTTAATTGGTTCAATGTAGAGCTATACTTACAAGTTGATGCTCTAATCGCTTGATTGTTTCATCTTGTTTCTTCACTTCATCTTTAAGTTGCTTAATCTCATTGAGCAAATCTTCAGTCTGACACAAAGTAATAAAAAAATAGGCAATTTGAGGTTTTTATTAAGAGGTACACAACCCAGTCTCAATTTAAGATCTCCCCAGGCATATTCAAACCAGATGCTAATGAAGCCCCAGCATGAAAATATAAATTACAATTTAAATGAATTCTTCCCAAACCAGTATGGTTTGCTTTCATCTCATTGTCTATGCTGGAATGAGCGATAGCTCCACAAACTGAAGCTATGTCTAGAGAAAAGAAACATTTTGACTGAACTAGAAGTTTTCACATGTTTTCTCTGTGCAGTGTATTGCAATTTGTTAATTATTCAGTGTATTTCAGTCTTGTAAAATATAGCTTTGAGATTCGTAACATGAAAGTACATATTGAACATCTGAAAATGGAAAGGAATCAGGTTTTCTATTTCTATAATAAAGGATAATAATTTTCCTGCAGTACATAGGAAACACTGTCAATTTGGAATTTCTCTTGGATTTGGAGATGAAGTGTACAAGACACATATGCATGCCAAAGCATTTTATATTTAACAATTATTGAAAAAATTGGGATTTTCTTAACATTTTCTCCTTTCAGTAGCATTTCTAATTTTAGTGAATTAATTGTTCTGTTCAACCAAACAATGCATTCTTGAAGCATATTTTAAAAATTAGCATATTCTTTACAAAACTGAAATCATATTAAAATGTTGTTATCTGCTGATTAAAGATGAAACACCCAGACTTACATACTACAATGTACTATACTTTAAACTACACATTAAAGCAGAATAATTTAAAATCACAAAGTAGTGATAATCAATTCAAAGTGTTTCATATTTCATTCTGAAATCAAAAAGCAATGCTGAAAAGTGTTTACATTGAACAGTGATATGCAAAGAATCTATCTAGTTCAAAAAACAACAAATCACAGAAAACAGACCTTGTCTCCACAAAATTTTAGGTGCCAGTTATGCTATTGGATCATATATATGGATCTTTGTGACCTTGCTGAACCCTATGAGCTTCACAAGGATTCTATGCAGTAAGAAGGGTCCATGTGTGAATCCAGTTTTGAGATTAGTTTCTAAAATGCAGAGCCTTTTATAGCTACAGGGAGCCATACATCCTAGCCAGCATCCCTTTTGCAATAAATACTGATCTTTGGAATAGTTCTGAAGTTCTTCCTGCAGAAATACTTGCAATAATGTGTGGGAGGCCCTACTCTGAAAAGACAGAATTGTATAAACTGTTAAATACCGGAACAAAAAACAAAACATAACAACAATTATGGTGTGATCATGATACAATAGGTAAGAGTGAAAATCAAATTTTGGAAGTTTAACAATGAGACTGCTAGCAACGTTCTGGTGGAAAAAATGGGAAAAGTGCCATATTTGAGGGAAGATTCCACAGGTGCTCATTATTAAAACACCTGTGCCAGTTTACATAGGAAAAAGCTTCCTTGAAGCATGGAATGAGCATGGTAATTAGCAAATATTAAAGACAGAGGTAATTCATGAAAATAAAACTAAGATTTTATGCCCTATTATAACACTCATTGCAAATGTGAAAAGCATAATTATTTTGATAATTCATTTGTACATGAATTTCCAACAAGCATTTATTTGAAAAAGTCAAATAAGCCCTTTTAACTTAATAAACCTTATATGGACATCTAACTGGGTTTGCCTTTATTTGTTTGTTTTTTTTTTAAGTGATGGAACCAGGGTGCAATGAAAGGCTGCATATTAAATAGCTAGAAATTCATGTTATACAGGGTTTTCATAAAGTCCTTGTGCACTTTTAAACTTTAATAACATAGGTTGTAGATATGATAGAAACAATCAGTAAATGGCATTTAAAAGCAAATTTCTTAATGTTTTAGAACAACTAGAGTTCACAATGCTAGACTTCAACATAACCACCATCTAACATGATACAGTGCTCAATCCAATCTTCCAACTCCTTGAAAACATTTCCCAGTTGCTCTTGAGTTACTGTACTAATTGTATTGGTGATCCTAGCTCTAAGTTTCACCAAAGAACATGGAACTGCCGTACATTCACAGCGTAGTGGCACGGAGCTCCATCTTATTTAAGAATAAATTCACTATTACTTATGAAGTCTAGCATTGTGTACTCTAATTGTCCTGAAACTTTAAATAAATTTGCTTTTAAATGCTGTTTACAGATTGTTTCTATCATACCTACAACCTAAGTTATTAAAGTTTAAAAGTGCCCAAGGTACACCTCACCTACAAGACTTATGGCTCACTACAAGGATGTTACTTATGTAAATAAAGAGCCAAAAACATTATTGCAAATACAAAGAATATATTGTTGCAATGAAATAATGAGACTGTAATGTAAAATTGTTTCTTGCCTCAGTTTTATACTGGGTTTTCAGATCTGACTATGATAAAATTCACAATTTATGTCATCATTCTGCAAAACAGTGTCAGTTTACCTTGCATGGAGATTCAGCATCCTGTGGTTCTGGGCTTGACAAAACTGAAAATGGGATGTCCTGTAGTGACACACTCTCATCATTCTGCCAAAAGGAAAGGAAAAAAAGACCCAGTTTGCTTGCTCAATAGCTAGTTATGAAAGTCAGTTTTGGATAAAGCATTGTCAGCTTTGCTGTTATACTTCAGACTGAATTGAGCCTTTTCAATAACCCATAAGCAATCTGCAAACAATAAGCCCCAAGAACTACATTTCAATTGAAAACAAGCTTTTTAAAAAACAGCAACTCCTCTAACATGATTTTTTGGGTCATGTTTCATATTTATTTTCCCCCAGATTTTGCAGAATCATATTTGTACAACACTGCCTGTATTTTTAAAAATCAAAATAAGATGCAATTACACACTTCTGGAATGAGAGACACAAATGCCAGGATATAAAACTATGTTAATTAAGAAAAGCATAAGCAGTGAATCACATACATATGTTCTTATGCAGAGCAAAGAATCCCAAGCACCAACAGTTCTACTGTTCTGAAGAACAATTAGTGAAAAAAAAAAAATGAAAGAGGAGTGAAATGGCCAAAAGGCCTTCATCTACTGAACATGACTACTCAATTAATGCTTCACTTTTCAGAATTCTATGCATCTTCTCTATGTAAGAGTTATTATGAAAAAAACATAACATGTCCAACTGAAGCTAAAGTGAGCTTTAATAATTCATAGCTCAATTAAGGATTACTTATATTCAAAAATAGTTTTCTTGTTAACAGTTTAATACAGTACTAACTCACAGCCATGGTATCTAAATACCTGTGATGAAATAAAAGGAAGAATACGGTACATAGTGTAAGAGCAGATTTATTTTATTTTTTATTTCTTTAAGAGAAATGTATTTAATTTAAGCATAGCAAGCAGAGGATCCTGAAAATGCCAAAAGCTAATTGCATGCCCATGTCCTAAAGCACTTGATAGGACGTGAAGGCTAAGTACAGACATTTAGAAGGGTTAGGAGGAGGTTAAATCAATTCAAAATGGCTCCCAATATCAGGCAAGTCAGGATGGGGGCGGTGGGGTATGGGAGGTTTGGGGATCCAGCAGGCTGGAGGAGATCAGGAGTCTGCCAGAAGATGGAGGGGCAGGTGCAACCTGTGTGTGTGTGGGGTGGGGAGGGGGGGCAGGCATGACTTGAAAGGGATAGGGGGAGCAGGTGCTTCCCACAAGGGGTGGGGGAGCAGGTGTGACCCACAGATGGGGTGGAAGGGGCAGATGTGACCCATGAGGGTAGCAAGAGCATGTGCAACCCATGGGTGGGGTGGCTGGAAGGCAGGTGCAACCCATGTGGGGTAAGGGAAGCAGGCTCAACCAGTTGGTGGTGTGGATGGGGGGGCAGGCATGACCTGCAAAGGGTGGGGGGAGGCGCGACTCATGGGTAGGTCCCTCCCCAGCAAACATACAACCCCATCCCTCCCACCCCTCCCCCCATTGAGACTTACTTGCACATACACATTTTTTAAACAGCTGTTAAAGTGCCACAATAGTGGTATTCAACCTTCAGTCTGTGGGTCAGATGCAGCACATGAAGCTGATGCGAACAGCCTGTCACCAGCACATCATTGACAATCAGCAACAGTCAGAAAGAAGGATATGAGCAGGTGCAGTTCACCTGTACTGAAATACCACTGAATTCCACACAGGTCTGGAGCCCAGGAGCTGAGCATTTGCCTCCACCTAATCCCATGCCAAATTAATTCAGCAGCAGGAAAGAAGAGAGGACAAACAGCTGTGGTCTTTGGCTGGAGCCAGAGCTTTCATGCACCTCCAGAGCCCGGGGCTGAGTACTGCTGCTATTCACAGTTTCCTGAGAAAACTTTGGCAGAAGGAGGAAAATTTAGGGGAGACGCACCCTTTGTGGCCCCATGCATGTCCACAGGGCTCTGAAGTAGTACATGGATAGCCACAGCACTTGAAAACACCAAAAAGCCCTTTAAAAAAACTATACTTTTAACTTTGCATTAATAAGCCTAAAATTACTAGGAATGTATTTTCCTTTCTACTATTAAATATTACTTAAATAGTTAGTATTAGTTGTTTTGTTTTGTTTTTTTTTACTTTGGCATATCCTATCTTGCTTTTTATGACAACCATGGCCCATTTCTGATGTTAATGTTTGGCCCACTTGTGAAATAAAATCAAGCATGACTGTGCTCAACATTGAAGACAGGTCAAAGAATGAAATCAGAAAGAAAATGATGGGGGAGATACCATGCTAACATATTTGCATTGTAACATTTTGTATGCTGTGTCACTTTATAATGCAAAGCTGCAGGGCAACCTAAAAGTGCAAGATACTGAGATGCATAAATTTAGGCTGCACATGTTCAAATGACCTGGAAGCACTCTCCAAGGTTTGCTCTCCTTGTAGAAAAACTTGCCTGGAGATGCCTGGATAGCCATCTAGAAGCTGAGCCTTTGAAAAGCACAGGGCTTGCAGTACTGATGCTGCACAGCCAGAGGGTGCCTGCGCACACATCTCAGCATGCACTGCAGGGAAGGGAGAAGGGGAGCAAAGCACCCTGGAATGCTGGAGGACTGTACTTTAGCTTCTCTCAGAAAAGAATGCTCTCTCAGGAGAAACGCTCCTAGGAGTGACTTAACCCTGATTGTTCCAAGATTTTTTTTTTCTCTTGGAATAGCCATTTTTACTTTGGGAGAAAACCCTAAACATCTGTACACTTGTGGTTTCTCCTGGGACAGCTGCAACTGTCCCAGGAGAAACTGTATATATGTACATGATCTTAGTCTCTACTGTCTACATTTGCCACCCACTAGGCCTGTGTGAATAGGGAAATATTGTATTCAGATTCAGTCAGTTCAGAGAACAGTGATTTGATTTGGAGATTCGGATCACTGTCCTTAATCAATTTGACAGAATCAGCTTTGGAAGATTTGGCAATTTGGATTGGCCAGGGAAGAGGCAAGCACAGCCGGAGAAGCTCCCATGGCTGCCCTGCCGGCTCCATCCCCCACCAGTCCCAGCACTTAAAAAAAAAAAAAAAGCCCCACATTCCCCAGCTGCAGGAGCAGTAATCAGGGACTCTGGGCACTGGTGGCCAAGCCCCGCCCCCCACAGCACCAGGCAGCATCCCCCCTGCCTGGTACCTGCGTGGCAGCTGCCCCATGGCACGGGTGCAGCATGGCTTGGCAGGGCACTGCATGCTGTCTTGGAGCTGAGGCCACTGGGGCTGAGCACTGCCGGGCCCCAGATGACTTGTGGAGCCTCCCCAGCTCCCAGGTGAATCGAACTGGGGGCTGGGGAATTGAACCCCTTGTCTCTTTTGAAGATATGTTCAAATAATCTCCCTACTGAATGACTGACTGCTGCTACCTTATGTGAACTTTCTGTTTAACTGCTATCCCTTTCTTTTGACTATAACTTCCACTAATCCATCTCAGTCATCCATTTCCTACATTGATTTTCAGTTGAGTTATGTATAATGGTGTTCTTTATAGAAAAGCTAACTGGATTTTAAACAAGTCAACAAAGTACTTAAGCATACACTTATCATTGGAGTAGTTCCACCATAATCAACAGGATTAGTCACACGGTTAAAACAAAAGTTAGATAAATACTGAATCAGAGCCTTAGAGCTGAAATCAAAACCATCCTGAGATACAGTGAAACTCATATCATGTTAATATCTTAATAGTTATAAAATCTTGACACTAAAAGATTTTCCACTGGAAAATTATTTTTTCTGTAGATTTAAAAAAAAATCTGCCTATATTACCTGCCTGTACATTTTCAATTCCTTTTAATTCCTAAGTTTTTACATTAATGTGCGTATCTCGAGTGGAATGTTTATTTACTACAGTAAAACAAATTCAGTAGCACCAGGAAGAATCAAATGGACCAGCTTTGATACACTGGTTTTGTATACAATTTATGTAGTCTGTTTTTATCAATGTAAAGAAAGGATTGAGTTGATTAGAACACTGCAAGCAAGAGGGGCTATTACTTAGAGTGGCACTTGAATTTATTCATGACATTTTTATTTCTGTCTTTCAGTCTGCAACTTATACAGAAGAAGTTTTATTGCTCTAATAAAATCTGGATTTTTATAAAAAGTTGCATGGCAGACCAGTTGATATTAGTGCTTTAGAAGTGAGCTTATTGAATGCAATGGGTTTTATTTTAAATACAATGCACCTAGGTAAAATATTTAATTCCCTTTTGTTTCAGGAATTTTAAAACGCTCTACTACCACTTATTAGGCCTGTGAGAAGCAGCCAGCATTTGATTTGGATTCAGATTCAGCCAATTTGGGGGACAGTGATTCGATCTGGTACACTGTCCCGAATAGATTCGGCTGAATTCGATTCAAAAGTTTCGGTGTTGATTCTGTGTGATTTGGCCATAGACTATAATAAGGACGCACACAAATACCTACAACTGCCATTTTTTTTGCAGAATTGGGTGAAAACAACACGGATGGTAGCCCCTTCTGAGGACACGAACCCTGCCAAGTTTCAAGGAGATAGGTGCAGGGGTTTCTGTGAAACTGCAGCTCAAACTGTTGAAAGCAAAACTCATATCACATGTGTGTGTTAACTGGGTTTCTGGTTGTAGCTGTGTTGGTCTAAGGAACAAGCAGGCAAGGTTTTTAGAGTAGATGTGATATCTTTTCTTAAACCAAATGAATAGTTGGAGAAATAGATCTTGGGAAGCTTTCGGATTTAAAAACCCTTCGTCAGGCTGAGGAAGCATCTGCAGGTGGTGTGTGTGCTCTTCCTGGATTGAATGAATAGTAAAGACGCCAGATGCTGGTATGCAGGCAAGAAAGCCAGTCAGTGAAAATGTAAATTGAGGTATCAGTGGGCAAGAGACAAGCTGAGATAGCGGGGAAGGGGAATGTAGCAGGTAAAAGTGGAGAGGTACCTGGGGAGTCAGATGTCCAGCAGGTTGTAGTGTGTCATAAATCCAATGTCTATGTTGAGTCCATGAGTTTTTATATCCAGTAGATTTTTTAAGTGAAGTTTGTAGGCTTGTCTACAAAAGGTGTTTTGTAAATTCAAACAAGCACGG